GCCATAAGAAGAAAACAAATTACGTCAATTCCTGATATAGGTGCAATGTCGACTCAGACCAATTAGTCACCTTTATTTCAGAAATGGATGTACCTCGCCAACCTACTTATGACCCCAACATGAGGGATGATACGAGTCGTCGTGCGAGCACCTTTGATCGCGGAATTATCAAAGGTGGGTTGAGAAGAGGATGACAGAAACACAAGAATAATTCAGTGATGACGAAGGAAAATACCTTCTCTAGATTATGAAGAATCAATTATTACAAATCTCTCTCTCACAAGCTCGTTAGAATCGAGAACAATCTCTCTATCCTCTCTAAACCCTAATACAATGATTAGAATTTCTCTCTGATCTAAGATGATGTTTAGAAACCCTAACTCTAAACCCTAATACAATGATTAGAATTTCTCTCTGATCTAAGATGATGTTTAGAAACCCTAAACAACCCTTTATATAGGTTCTCTCTGATCTAAGATGATGTTTAGAAACCCTAAACAACCCTTTATATAGGTGTACAAACGTGGATGACAATCTGGTAAATAATCAGACCAAACCCCAACAGGAATTTGTGCAAACAGAAACTCAAACGAACCAGGAAACCTTCGATGAGTCGACTCATGACTGAGATAAGTCGACTCGTCCGAAACTAGACAAATCACAAAAAACAGCGATGAGTCGACTCATGACAGGCATGAGTCGACTCAACCTGATGAGTCGACTCATGACTGTTATGAGTCGACTCACGAGCTGAAAACTGGATACTTTGATTCTTCGATTCGCCATCTAGTTCCACGCTTCAACCTGCGTTCCACTGTGCTGTTTTACACCTCTATTCTCATGCTATCATGAGAATCATCTATCCTCAAGCTCACATGAGGATCACTAAGTTCCGAAGAGAAGATACACACGTATCATGGGTCCCCTTTTTCAGAACTTGAAGTCTCGTTCAAGTTAGAACTTTTGCTGAGGAAACTCTCGATCTCCTCCATCTTTTCTGCACTGTCTGGCCTTGCTAGGAACCTGATATCGACGTACAACTGGAAACGACTCCTTCGCTCCTTGCCTTGTCGTAGCTGTCTTCCGCTCCAACACGCAATCCTCTTTCGATGGCTTTTCTCGAAGACTAATGCACAGCGAGACAAACTTCTTGCTTGCATTCACTAATCTCTTCGCTCGCGCCGCCGTCCCCAAGCTTGTCTCCCTAGGAAGAGACACCGAACGAAATATGAACTTTTCACCATCTTTAGTGAATGTGTACTTCTAAGCCCGCCTCTCGTAGATCGTATATCTATTATGAGTGCAAACTGGTCCAGATTTATCCGGACCGACCGTAACCGTAACCGTTTGGAAAGCGGATATGATAAGGAAAAATTGAAACCGGGCGGATATGGTTTCGGAAACGGTTACGGTTTAGATTTTTTATCCGGATACGGTTTCGGATACGGTTATCGGGTCGAAATTGCGGATACGGTCCGGATATCCGGATATTTGAAATAGGCTATATATATAACACTGGTTTATAAATTATAACACATATTGGGTTGGGTCAAACTCAAAATCCACAACCCGACCCAATTAAAACTCAAAAAACCTCCCTAATTCCCAAACCCTAAGCAGCTAAGCCCCTCTGCTCAAAATCTCAACCCGATCCTCCGATAAACCCGATCTCCGCCTCCGATCCTCCGCGTCGGGCTCCGCCTCCTCCTCCGCGTCGAGATCTGCCTCCCGCTCCTCCTCCGCGTCGAGCTTCGCCTCCTCCGCCGCGTCGAGATCTACCTCGCTCCGCCGCCTCCTCCACGTCGAGCTCCGCCTCCCGAGATTCGCCTCCGAGCTCAGCGTCAAGCTCCGCCTCCCGTTCCTCCTGCACGTCAAGATTCCCCTCCTCCTCCGCGTCGAACTTCGCCTCCTGCTTCTCCTCCGCGTCGAGATCCGCCTCCGAACCGAATAGCAACAAAGTCTTGAGGTAACTTGTCTTACTTTGCGAGTTATTAAAATCATATGTATTTTTTATCAAATTATATTCATATATATTTCCCAAATATCCGATTAGTATCCGTATCAGAACCGTATCCGAACCTCTAATATCCGAACCATATCCGTTTTCGTTTAATACGGATATGGTAATGTTTTTTCTTACCGATGAATATCCGAACCGTATCCGTATCCGTTTTTAAAAAGTGGTTATGGTTATGGTAAGGGTCATATCCGAACCGTATCCGAACCGAATGCACCCCTAATATCTATCCCATAAGTACGGATTGCCCAGTATAATCTGACAAACATCCAATGGAACTACATCGCACGTGACCTCGTCAATATACGACTCATGGAGCGCAAATCTGATAGTGCATTGATTAACTACACTTAGTCTCTCCTCCTTCTGAATCCATCCCAATAGATAGGGCTTCAGATGCTTAACCGTCTTCAGACCCAGTTTCTGGACCAAGGCCTCGGATATCAAATTCTTTTCGCTGCCTAGATCAACTATGGCATCAACCAAACTGGTCTTCACTTGCAACTTAAGCACAAAGAGTTGCTCTCTCGGGTCTTCGTCCTCTTTTGTGGCCTGTTTCCCCACCATAAGGTTGAGACTGCTGTTGGACTCTGTCATCCCAGGAACTTCCTTCGGACCCTGTGCTATCACATATGTTTTTTTCTCCTCCTTCCTCTTCAACCCTCTTGGCTTCAGATGAGGATACTTCTCCCAGCATCGATCAGCTTCATGTCCTGTCTTTTCGCAGTGACTACAAACCAATTCTGCTTTTCCCGTATCACCCTTCTTCCTCTCCTCCTTAGATTGAGAACCACTAGAATCGCCTCCAACTTGCTTTGCATGTCTCTTTGCTTCGTTGCTCTTCTTTTGCTTGCCTTCGATGGTAATAGCTTTCACGCTCGCCTCTGCAATCGATTCCACCGTGAATAACTTCATTTCCTTCCGGATGTAATCGCTCAATCCCGCCATATACTTCATAAACACAGAATATTCCTCTGTCGTAATGTTGAGGATCATCGCCTGCTGCTGGAACTCCGTGGTGTATTCTTGAACGGTTTGATTGACCCTTTGGTGCAAGTCGTACCACTTGTACCAACGCTCCTCAAGGAACCCTACTGGATAGAACTGCTTCTTTAGTAGCTCCTTGAACTTGTTCCACGACACCACCTTCTTCTCCTACTTGCAGTAGGATTTTCACCACGTCAACGCGTGCCCTGAAAGCTTCAAAGTCGCAAACACAATCTTCTCTTTTGACGAATAGCCATAAAGAGTAAAATACTCTCCATCCGCTCGATCCAGTCACCAAGCCTCTCGACGTCAACACTCCCATCATAAACATGAATCTCCACCTTGAAGCCAATCTTTAGGTTCTGGTAAGAATTCTTACCCTCTTGATGCAACGCAGCCTTAACGGTCTCCTCCTCCTCATCGGGATCTGAATCCACTCTCTCCCCATCGGACTCCATAATTTTCTTCTTAGATTTTGAAGAAGATTCACCTTGTTTGTCACCTCCATGGATAAGACTGACGAGTTATGTGAGAGTCGACCCTATCGTCTCGATCTGCTTCTCCAATGCATCAATCCTCGCTGAATTGTCTCCTTCAGCCATCTTCTTCTTCCTTAAAACCTGGACTCCTTCCAATGAAATAAGGATCTCGCATAGCTTCTTGTATTGCGATCGAGTCAGGACCATACACAGGATGCCCCCTCCACATGATCTGATTGCTCTGATACCAACTTGATACGAGTCGCCGTAAGAGCACCTTTGATCGCGGAATTATCAAAGGTGGGTTGAGAAGAGGATGATAGAAACACAATAACAATTCAGTGGTGACGAAAGAAAATACATTCTCTAGATTATGAAGAATCAATTATTACAAATCTCTCTCACAATCTCGCTAGAATCGAGAACAACCTCTCAATCCTCTCTAAGCCCTAATACAATGATTAGAATTTCTCTCTGATCTAAGATGATGTTTAGAAACCCTAAACAACCATTTATATAGGTGTACAAACGTGGATGACAATCTGGTAAATAATCAGACCAAACCCCAACAGGAATTCGTGCAAACAGAAACCCAAACGAACTAGGAAACATTCGATGAGTCGACTCATGATTGAGATGAGTCGACTCGTCCGAAACTGGACAAATCACAAAAACCAGCGATGAGTCGACTCATGACAGGCATGAGTCGACTCAACCCGATGAGTCGACTCATGACTGTTATGAGTCGACTCACGGGCTGAAAACTGGATACTTTGATTCTTCGATTCGCCATCTCGTTCCACGCTTCAACCTGCGTTCCACTGTGCTGTTTTACACCTCTATTCTCATGCTATCATGAGAATCATCTATCCTCAAGCTCCCATGAGGATCACTAAGTTCCGAAGAGAAGACATGAGAATCATCTATCCTCAAGCTCCCATGAGGATCACTAAGTTCCGAAGAGAAGATACACCTGTATCAAGGGAGGATTTTGGTAATTGAGGGAGGAGAATGACTAATTGAGGATACATCATAATGCACCATTTGTGGTTAACAACTTTAGAGACGATGCACTGGTGGGATACTCTTTAAATCCTATATAAACTTAAAACAATGTAGGTTATCCATTGTTTTAGTCTTCAATGACAAGTGGATAAGAATTTGGAGAGTCATCTGGGTTGGCTTTCAGATTGTAAGCATTCTAAAATTTACGCATCAGTTTTAAACACAGGGAAGCAACAAAAAAGCACTTGTACAAGCAAAATCTGCTTGCATCAAACCAGTAACAATCCATCCGAAGAAACTACCTGCTCAAAATCTCAGCTAAAGCCATTAGGCCCAATACTCATAAGTCTCATCACTCAAATGGAACAGCAACAAGGCTGAAGGGATATGAAAGCTCTCAGGATCTACAATAGCAATCCTGGCAGTATAAACAATCATCATCTCCATTAACCAACATAACACCTGGTGTTTTCCAATATTATCATGCGATAAAATTGTAACTCGGCACTTTATAACTTTTAACTGGTATTATCATTAAGTAATAAAAGGAATTCGGAGTACAAATAAAAGATTGTTTACACGAAATATGAGTTAGCTATGTGCGTTGATAAGTACACTATCCGCTTATCACAGAAAGAATGCCAATTGCAAATATTAGTCGCCTATGAATGCACAAATTCCCTCTTGTTATATATTTATGACACCGGAGAAATAAAAAAATAATGGGACATGGCATCCTCCATTTTCCAATATCCCAAAATAATAATCACGACAATGTCATCTATCTACCTTGTCCATAAGCATTCTCAAGAACTTGGACGCCAGGACCATAGATTCTGTGGCAACGGTCATTGAATGAACTAACTAGACGAGACACTACCTCTTTGAAGAACATGGAAGCCACCTGAAATATGACAAGTCATCTCAAGTTAAACACAGACAAAAACGAAATATTTTCTCCAAAGTAAAAATAAGAAGGAAAAACCTCAAGAAGTAACATCATGATAATACAAGAAGGTCTGAACAAACCTAAGACAGTACTCCTGATAGATGGCAATTATAAAATGTAGGGTTAATTGCAGCAGGCCCATATACTATTACCCAGGTGCATATACTATTGCCAAGGGGTGGATAGACCCCCTATAGTTCTATTGTTGCTAATAGACCTCTGTACTATTTGCCCAATTGTGGGTAAAATCCCCTAAGGTTGTGTTTGGTTAGGTGTAGTTGAAACACCTTGTTGTTCCAACCACATCTTAAATTCAAAAGTCTTGTTTGGTTAAATGTTGTTGCAACACCAAAAGGTCGTTGCAACAACAAAATAAGCCAAAAATAGAGGTGTTGGAACAACACTCAAATTTAAGAGTATCGCAACGCCATGAGTTGTAATACAATTTCGGGTGTGTTTGGTTAGAGGGTGTTGGAACTACAAATGTAGTTGCCACATCATTTGTGTGTTTGGATTGATGTAGTCAGAACACTATGTTCTTCCAACTACATTTATGAGTGTTTGGTTGGATGTAGTTGCAACACGAAAATATTGTTGCAACACCCATATATGCTAAAAATGAGGGTGTTGTATTCGCGCTCAAATTTTAGAGTGTTGCAACAACATTTGAGTTGCAACTGCATGTGAAAGCAACAACTTGAGTTGCAACTACTTGTGGATACAAATACATTTATTATTGCAACACACTCTAACCAAACACACCCTACCATTTGTTCCAACTCCTAACCAAACACACCCAGTGAAAAATTTCTGACTCTTTTGCCGTGAGGAGGGCTATTTATCAAAAAATAGTTATTTTTCTCTGAGGGCAAAAGAGTCAAAAACGTCCCTCAGGGGATCAACCTGCAATTCGACGATACTACAGAGGGTCTAGCTACAATTGACCCTAAAATATAAATGTATATTTCTGTAGAAAAATAGGATACAAAGCAAAGTTACAATCCCTCGATGTTCACCAGCTTGGACCTCTCTCATAGTGACTTTACATGGAAAAAATTATAACCAAGTTTTATCTAGTTTTTCTTCTAATGCTCACTTTATGCAGCAGTCAAACAAGAGGGAAAGCAATTTCTTCTACGTTCTTCTCCCCTCACCTATATTACCTGGATACTTCTATCATGAAACGATACCATCTCTGACACATATCATATTTCAACACATACAGGATACACCTTGGACACTCCTTGAGTATATCCATGTTTTTATCCACACATGCACTCTATTATATGAACATGTTTTAATAAAACACTCGTCAGAGTCGGTCAGATTCTTCTTGGACGTGTATCCTACGCTTCATATCCACTTCCTGAGACTTGTGGAGATGAGATGGGTTCGTTTCCACCCATATCCAGTTCGAAACTCCAACTTAAAGGATTGTTTGGGTATTTACTTCAAAAACAGCCTGAGTCCCAAATTCTACCTTACAAATCTGTTGTGTCCCGTACCCGCACCCGTATCAATGCTAGTTCCTCACTTTTGGAACAAAAAAGTTAAGCATTGTGTCAAATAACAGTGGGAAAGGAACTTGACTAAAAAAATTGTCTTTTGTTTAGTACAGAAGAAGCAGCGATTAAAGCATCAAAGTCAATTTCTCAAGCAAAAAAAAAGCCCACCCCACACATTTACAACAAAAGCACGGAACACAAAACAAAATGGTTGTAATAAGATGTTATTTTCACTTTACTAGATTCAGCCAAACATGGAAAAGTGATCGTAACAAAAAAGATGATCATTCCTCAAACCTAATGAACTGAGTTGAAAATAAAAGGCAACAATGAAAGCAAAATATACCTGACGATATAATGGTGACTGAAACTTGAAATCCACCAAGAAATGGAGGTCACAAGATCCTGGAACAGGACCAGGATTAAATTCCCAAATGTTAATCAGATGGTCAAAAAGGCCACTCTCATGGGCAGTTGTCTGCAAAAGAGCATGTCATGTCAGCCAAAGTGCATCATGTAAGACCATCAAGAGCATGACAAATTAGCCATGTTAATTTGACCCAGAGCCTTAAGCTTAGTGATTAAAATTTTGATTAATATTAAGAGACCATAAAAATTAAATTTCTATCAAGCAATTAAGACATACACTCAAAAAAGAGACAATTAAATATCTATGATATTGATTATTAGAGGCATATAAATTGTCACATTCCCTCAAACAGGAACTCTACCATAAGCACTAACACTGATCAACTTGTCGAGCCTTTTGACTTGGCATGTGTGGCACAGCCGCACAGGCGCGCACATGTTCAAACTTTCTAGTTCTACACAGAAATCTATCTAGCATGGAAAAGTAAAAAACATCAAATTGTTGCTTCCACATCCATATAAGATAAGTTAATTCCAAATAATTTAAGCAAGAGTAACCACTACTAGGTGTTTTCTAAAGACAACATGTCATGTTTGGTTGTTAGGTTAAAAACCTAATAAATTCTTTCAAATTCCCTCCCCTCAACACTCTGCTCCATTAATATCATCTTCATCAAAACATGTTTTTTGCTCACCTATACATGAGTCTGTGTCCTTTCTACTTATCCATAAGTCTAAACTATAACTGATCTAGAGAGAGTATCATGACAATCGAATGGCCTTAAAGCATGAGACTTCCTCTTTTATCAATTGATGAAAAAACTTCAGTAACCAGTTCTTTTATATTATGAGCTACACCTGCTCATAGCTGGCCCTCACTTAATATCTTCCACCATTGCTAATTGATGATCTAAGTCAAAGCTTTAAGCTGCAATGTCATACTAAGCTTTTTTTTTAATAGCCAAACAAAAGCTTAGAGTTCTTCAGTTTGACCCATCTTTGTTCTTTTATAACCCAGTTTCAAAGGAATATCTCATAAATAATAAGTTAATATAACCAGATTATTTGGTGCATTTGATTAATAACTATAAACTTGAAACTTTATGCTTACACTACAAAGTTAATTTTGCACCTGACCCCTAATGGTTCCAAACAAGATCCTCATGTTTTTGCCCCATTTTCCAGTCTAATGTAATTTGTTTTGTAGTTGTTCCATGCTTTTGCTTCTCATATCAAGTAGCATGCCCAATTTTCCCAGTTACTATATCAGCAGCTAACGAAATGGCCTATGCTTTAATAATAATATGACTTTATGACTTTTCAAACATTTCCCAAGGCCAATATTTCTTGCAACAAACTTTGTTTCTTAGTAAAATGTAGCATATGACTGGAAAATTTCATGAAAAAAATAAGAAGCCTGTTATAAATTTCATGCTTGGAGCATAACCTTGAGTCCTACAACTGTTGATATCTAAAGAGCAAAGTGCACCTTTATGTAATTTGGTTTCTTCATTTCAACATGGGAGACATAGCTTTCCACCAAAAACTTGAAGCCAATTTCAAGTTCGGCATCAAATGATCCATCACTATTCCGCCTTAGAATTTTGGATCTTTGACACCATGGAACAAAATCCTCATATAAATCAACAGCTGCAACCACCGCAAACAATTGCTCTGGAGAGTACCTAATCGTCACAGTAACCATAAGCATGATAGTAGTAATAATAATAATAATAATAATCAAAAACTATCCATTGTCATAAAATATGAAAGACCAGAGAAAAATATAATGACAAGAAACAACTACTTTCAACAACCCGACAAGGCAATATGGTCACACGATTGTTTAGCAGAATAATAACAATATAAACACTCATCAATCTAAATAAGTTAATTATCATATTACTTCAGCATAGATTAAGAACATCAGAGATGCACACATCTCTCCAAATTTATTTTCATTGATAGCCCAATGACAACTTATACCTCATGATGCTTGATTTCAAGAGGATAACAATATTGACTATAAATCTAATGGAAAATTCAAAATTGTTATCAATATAAAGCCGCCCTCCGTTAAAGGCCCCTTCTATCACACCAAAAAGTTGTTATGGTGAGATTCAGGATTATAATTTTATATTCTAACTAGCCTCCACAAGTTAAACAACCTTTCATGGGCCAAAAGATATACTCACACAGTCGTGTTTTATTAAATCCGCTTTAAAGGCATCGTGAGTGGGATTCGGACCTGGGTTTCTCTGATACCATGTTATAAAGGTCCCTGATACTACACAAAACTCCGAAGTTATAGTTAGAGTTGAGCATCAGGGTTAAGTACTGCCTTTAACGGTAAGACTAGCTACACATTCGTATAACAAATGCACAGGCATCAAGCAAGCAAAATTGACAAAAAAAAGTCTTCATCCCACAAAAACTATTCACAACTATCTAAATCATACCCCATAACGCGCTTCTCCTCGTAATTCTTCGACAAAACATCCCCTTCTTCCCCATCCCCAACCCCCAGAAAGCATCTACTCTGCGATTTCCAATGCAGACTCCCAAACGAAGTCCCACCCTCCTTACCCCCATCAACCAGAGAATCAATTTTCGAACACCCAACCCTCCCAATACTACCAAAGCTCCGATCTTGATCAAATCTCTCAAACCTCCCCAACCTCCTCGAAGATCGACGCAGAAAGTTTCCGCCTGATAACAACCTCGCCAATGCCTTCGACGAAGAAACGATCGGCGGCATCGCCAGCTTTGAGCCCTAAATCTGCGGTGATTGGAGATGAGAGGCGAGAATTTTTGAGTTTGGATCGAGGTTCGAATTTCTAGGGTTTTCTTTTTGACGAGGGACGAAGGGATCGAGAGAGGAGGAGGGAAAATCGTGGAAGGAATTAGAAAGGGATTTATTCGGTAGCAAGAGAGGGGAGGCGTGGGAGACCTTTGAACCGTTTTGGACCGTGACCACACGCGTAGGTGATGGTCTGTTTTGATGGCGGGCATTAAAATAAAAAATAAAAAATAAAAAATGTCCGGGGTGTGGGGTCTATTAGGGGGTTAGTCACCTAGAACTTAAAATTAGAACTAGGATAATATATGTGATAAATTTTTAAGATGTTAGTCACATTGAACTAAAACTAGAATAAAATTTTATAGTGTTAGTCAAGTAGAACTCTAATAAAACTAGAATTGAAATAATGGTACAAAATTATCCTACTTTTTTTATTTTTCTATACAAAAATGAGAGTTCTAGTCTCTCAAATTATTCTAAGTTTTAATTTGAAACTAGGTGGTAAAAAACTAGAACTCATATTTTTGTTATTTTTTATTTTTTATTTTTTATATTTATTTTTTCTTTACTTTTTTTCTATTATAGTTATCACCATCATTATAATAATAATTATCAATATCTTATAGTCTAACCAAAAGCTATTTAATAGTAAAGAACATTCTTGTAAGCAATTATAAATCAACAATAGTAAGTTTAAAATACATAAATAGTATTTATATCTTTAAAATGTATTAATATATATTTCATGATTATAAAAATTTATCTCACGTTATTTTATTAAAATATCTGGCTTCATAAAATTGTTTCTATTTATCCCACTAAAATATCCCACTAGCAAAAAATTATTCTATTTTAACAAGTATCCCATTTTGCATGAAAATGTTCCAATTGACTAACACCTCCTTAGAGTATTTTTTGCATGAGAAAAAGCGTGGGATAATTGTTAAAATGATATAATTTTTAGATCCTAGACCCTAAAATCTCTAAATTGGTGTTAGTTAATTGAGACGTTTTCATGCAAAGTGAGATAATTGTTGACGTGTAATAATTTTTCGCTAGTAGGATATCTTAGTCGAATCAGTAGGAATAATTTTGTGAAACGAGATATTTTAATAAAATAAAGTGGGATAATTTTTATAATCATGAAGTTTATGTTTATGTATTTTGAGGATATAAATACTATTTATATATTTAAAACTTACTATTATTAATTAATAATTGTTTACGATATTATTATTTACTATTAAATAACTTTTAATTAGACTCTAAGATATTTATAATTATTATTATAATATATATTGTAGTTTTTTTACTTTTTAATTATTATTATAGTACAAGTTCAAAAAAAATTGAAGAGATCTGTTTCCATCGTCTCTTAATTTTATTATTTAATAAATTATGAATTGATACAATCTTTACTTTAAAATTAATTATATAGTTATAATATTCGCTAAAAAAGAAAATATCAAAGATGACTAAAAGGAGACAAGATCTGATCTGATGGCAATGATGGTGATAACCATAATAGGAAAGAAGTAAAGAAAAAAATATAAAATATTAAAAATAAAAAAATAAATAGGACTTCTAGTTTTTTAACATATTGTTGTAAGCTAAAACTTAGGATAACTTGAGAGACTAGAACTCTCATTTTTTTATAGATAAATAAAAAAGTGGGATAATTTCGTACAATTAACGCAGTTCTAGTTTTGTTAGAATTCTAGTTGACTAGCACTGTAAAATTTTATTCTACTTTTAGTTTTAGTAAAGTTGCAATCCCATGCTCACCCACCTCTGCCATCCCCGTTGTAAGTCTTCTCACCTCTTTCTATGCTCTTCGTCCAGCATTCAGCATTCAGTAAAGTTGTTTCCCTCCTTGGAAAAGATGATGGGGGTGATCACAGGTTGATGAGTAGAGCGTTATAGTAAGACTGAGTTAGGTTCAGGGATTTATGTTGAAGGAGAAGGAGAGGATGTTATTTTCGTCATTGAGGGACCAAATTGCAAGAACCTTAAGATTTTAAGGGACTTATGAGCGAGTTCAAATATTTAAGAGACTAATAAAGAATTCTTGAAGATTTGGGGGACTGATATCTAAAAAAAAATGAGATATTTTAATAGAATAACTGAGAATAATATTTGAAACCCGGATATCTTGGTAATGAAGTCAAGAGTAATTTTGTGATATCTAGCAGTTGATTGGAACAAAAAACTAATTTTGTGAATGGTTTAGATATAAATTGAAAACATAATGTGATTGGTGTAGATTTTCCCTAAATATAAAGCGCGCGGTTTCCAGAAAAACCCCTAAAAAGTTATAAGATATCATTTTTTGCTCGATACCTCGTTAGATTCATTTGATTGGAATATTTTCTAGAAAAGTAGGTGCGCTTAATTTTGGATTACAATGTGCCTTCAACCGAGGGGAAAAAAATCATATAAAAAGTTCTTTATGTTTCCAAAAGGCAACTAGGTCGATTAGAGCTTAAATCTTGAAATTAGTGGAATGAAATTTTATAATGTTACTCAATTAGAATTAAAACTAGGATAAAATTGTAAAGTGACACCAGTTTATAACTTTATCAAAACTTTAAAAAAAGATATAACAGTCATATAATCAAAATAAATAACTTATATACTTTTGATTATCATAAATTATCTCATCAACAAGTATCTTACCTATTCTCATGTATAATGCACGGGAACCCCTCTTAACTCAGGGCCGGCCCTAGGGCAGGCGGGAGAGGCTTGCGCCTAGGGCCCCCAAAAAACAGGGGCCCCCAAAAAACAGGGGCCCCCCATGTAATTTTATATATATATATATATATATGGAAATTGGAAAAGTAAGAGGATTTTTATGCAAAAGTGTTAGAGGCTATAAATACAAAAACGAAAAACCCTTGGTCTCTCCGATTTCCGAAGTGGCCGTCTGATCGCCGACCTCTCTTCTTCTTCTCTGATTCTCTCTGAAGTGACGTTTCTTCTTCCCGACTCCGTCCGGACCGTCTGCAGTCCGCTCCTCCGCCGTCAAACTCCACGACGCCGTCTCCGGCGACTCCCTCCGCCCCTCCCACCAGCAAGGCAAACGCGACCTCGCCGCCAGTGCCTTTGCCCTTTGGAGACTCTGTCTCTGTCTGCAATCTGCGTCGCCTCTGGCCGGCGACTCCGTCAAGGTTACAAGGTATATAAGTATATTTGAATAATTGAATATTTCTATAATTCTATACAGATAACAGACTATACTTAGAATAGCATGATATCTTTGTTTCATCACTTCATGACCTAATAATACTTTTGCTTTGTTATTGATTCTATACAGCACGAATCTGTGCATAACATTATTAACATACATGAATTAGTTGTATAAACAAAGTATGAATCTGTGCATAACATATATGAAATTATGAATCAGACTATACTTAGTATATTTACTGATTAGTGATTAATCAATTGAAACAAGAAACCATAATATGCATATAGGATGTATAATCAAAGTGCGGTACCTGAACAATGAAAATCAGTAGCTAGTGATCCATACTTAAAATGATTGCATCGTGTCCCAAAAAAATCTTTAAGTCCAAACTTTGTTTTTGTCTATTGAATAGGAAGAAGAGATAAAAGTGCATCTTTTAGGATTCAGGTGTGTTGATCTGAAATTTGTTTGAAGTTAAACTATTCAAATTTCAAGGTAATTTTATAACTTTATAAATTATAATATTTGTTGATCTTATGTATTTTAGTATTTGAATATAATTTTTTATGTAGGCATCCCTAAAGTTATTTGGGTGCAACACTTTATTTTTTTTTTTAAAAATCTTGAATATAGGAGGGCCCCTTTAAGATTTTTGTTCACGTTTTTGCCTAGGGCCCCCGAATGCTCAGGACTGGCCCTGTCTTAACTAGACCCCTAAAGACAGACACCTATGTCTAAAAAGTGAGGGCATAGTTAAGATGTTGGGGGAAAAATAGGGGGAGAATGAGGTCAAGTGGTTGATTGGAAGCAAAACAAACTTGATAGAGTTTTTTGAAAATATAAGATTATTGGTGTAAAATGCCCTAATATAAGGTGGTTTCCAGAAAATACTATTTAAATGCTACTTGAATTTACAACAGCTTTCTCACATGTTCAAATGCATGCAATGCTTTATATCATATAAGTTCTTGAATTTTGACTTAACAGAGAAATCCAACACAACTAATGAATTAACAACTCTCATTTTTAAGTATGATGGTAAAAAGGAAGTTGTATTCTATAAATTAACCTACAATTATCTATAATCAGATAGAGTGCCATTTCAAAATGGATTAAAAGTGTCAATAACATTTCAAATTTATCACCAATCATCAACACGAGAAAACGATGAATAGCACGACACAAATGCTTAATTTTCTCTTTCCAACAACACGAGATTTGCTCTTTCTAAAATGAAACTTAATGTAACAAACTATAAAAATGATTTAAATTGAGGTGTAGATTAGCTATATAACTACCAGCAAGAAAAAATTTGTGTAAAAAAATTGGGTTACCTTTTTGCTATATTTTCACAGGGAAAAACAAAGATATTTTTGGATTTCTTCTTCTTTTTCTTTTCTTTTTTTTGTGAGAAAAGGAAAATTAAGAAAGATGTACGCCCGAAAATGAACGGACGGTGATGAGAGCCCAGTGCACTGTAACTGAAGCTTGCTCCCCAATCCTAATCTCTTCGAGCAACACCTAATCGATCTGCGAACAAAGCGGATAAATTCGGTAAACCCTAAAAAAGAAATCTTTCCCCTTAAAAAAATGGGAACCCTCCCGAGCTCTTCTTTCGTCAATCTCAACTTCAGATTCCGGCTGCTCTCCTCCGGCGGAATATCCGGCGGCCGGAGCTCGATCTCGCTCCGCAGAGCCTCGGGAAACCTTTGCTTCCTCTGCAAGCAAAGGCCTGAAGTATGGAGAACGAGGAGGCGATTTAGTACTTCCAGGTGCTACTCGATCGGCGGCGGAGATGGCGACGACGAGAAGAGCTCGAGCTCGAGCTCCGCAAATGTCTCAACAGATGAAGCGGAGCGTTCGGAGCGGTCACAGACGTCCGTTTCTTCTTCTAGGGTACAAAGCTCGAATTTTATTTTACATTTTTTGGTGCTAATGATTCTGTTGTCGTACTAATTGAGAGTAGTATCGTGGAATCTAATTCATTGATCCATATAAAAAGTGAAGAAGGTCTAATTAAAAAAGTGTCTGTTTTGGGAAATCGATTTATGCGTTGGAAAAGTTTGCGTTTGAGCTGTATAAGATGATTGTTGGGAAGTTTTAATGAACGACAGAGAGATACCTATATGCTTTTTATTGACATCGGAAAGTTTCGTGAAGAGTCATTAAGGAGACTATATTGAATTTTAAGAAATGAAGCCAGTATCTAGTTTTGATATCGATTTAGTTAAGGATTTGCATTATGGACAAATAACTAGCACGAGAGTAATCTTTAAGGAGACAAATGTTTACTTATCTTTTCTAGTCTCGAATCGAATATAGACCTCTAAGTTTATTTTGTTTAGCAACAGCTATAATGAAATTGCTACACATACTTATGATGGGACTGCTGTGTGTTTTTGCTGTTGTCATACTTATAGTTTCTGAGACGAAAGAGGATGCATTTTAATGTAGAAAGATGAGTAGAACCTTAACAATTTAATGATTCAGAATTAGCATGACAGGATTAGAATTCATAGAACGTGGCTCTAGCAACTTGAAAGAAGATAGAAAGGTACGCTCATATAGCTTGTCCAACATTACATAAGAGTACTGTTTTTTGCTGCATAGGGTTGATTATTCACCATGCTAGGGAGCTGGAGGAATATGTTCTTTGTGGAATCAAGATGCGACAAAGTGCTTCGACTATGTGACGTTACAATGCTTCCAGTGTTGAACAGAAGAAATAAGATGATTTTAGAAGCTAAGAATGCTATATGGTTAGAAAATGAGTATAACCAAAATGAGACTATTGAGATGGATTAGTGAAATACCACAAAAGATAGAATAAGAGATAATTGCATCAATTATCCATAAGAAGCCGAATCAAGTGAGAATAGAATTGAGTTAAGGAATGGAACGGAATTTATGTATGAATTGAATGCCCATTCTCATTCCCATGTTTGGGTGCGATTAGAGAATGAAAGCGGGAATGACAGTGTCATTCCCATTCCTAAGTTTGGTATCCCATGTTCACAAGTGAGAATGGAATGTAATTTTCTAATAATGGCCCCACTACAACGTACACTTTTAAAAGTATAAAAACATTATTAAACATGACTAAATAATTTCAACTTTTATAAATAAATTTTATAAAAATATGTTTTTTTTTTATTTTTTCATACAAAGAATTTTCCAATGGATTGTTTTATTTTGGCACACCATCTCAATTTCGATGTTTGACTTAGTAATCAAAAAAATGAAAAATGTATTTCATAGAAATAATTTTTGGATAAAAGTAATTATATGTTAGACTAATTAGCAATTTGTATGTACTTAAAAATTTTACTGTGAAGTTGATTCTGAGATGCATTTTAGATTAATTATTACATTGGATAAAATTTAAAATCTTTAAGACTATTTCTGAAATGCATTGTTGGTTGGGGCATAATTGGAAGTCATATATATTTATTGATTCTCACTTAAGAGGGCATGCCCATTCACTACCGTCCCATTGGGAAGGCTTATTCCCACATAAAGTGGGAACATATGAGAAGTGGGAATGGGCATTTCCACTTCAAAAAAGGTGTTAAGTTTGATACTACTCACGCCCATGTACCAAACGAGGCCTTAGAGATTGAATTACTGAGATAGTTTGTGGATGTACAACAGTGTGTTCGGTCACTGGGAGGATTAATATAGTGTAGCCAGATGCAAAATTGCAAAATTAATCTGGGAACAAGGTTAAATGTGGTAAAAAGATATGATACTTGTTAGTTCAATTATGAGAATGCCTTAACAGAATTTTATTGAAGAAAAAAGAGTTGAATGCAGACAATTTTCTTGCGCATTTAGTTTACAACGACTTATGCAACATGAGGATCCTAATCTAAAACAAGATTTCTTTGGTTGTTGGACTCCAATGGTGAACAGTAAAAGCATCGTGATTTGATATAACATGCAAAATTCACTTTCATGTAAAAAGTAGGGTGCATGTAGTATAATTTTTAACCAAACCATAACATATATTATAGAAGCAAACAGAAGAATAAGTGAACTTATATAGGATGAGGATAAACATATAGCTTAGACTCCCCTTCAGTTTGCATAAGTGGAGACATTTCCAGTCAATATACACTACCTCGCATACTTCATAGGTGCCACACATTGTTGCATTTAATAGAGATTCAGAGGCTGTTACACATTTACAGAAAACTATACATGAACTTAATTGATGTCTGTCCTCTCTTTTTTTAAATGATATCCATAAAGACAGACCTCACAGCATAAGGATTTTGCTTTTTCACTCAAACATGTGGTCCACATTGTCTTATATCCCTCCTTTTGTTCTTGAATTTGCAAATAAATACACATCTCACCGTGCTAACAGGTGTTTATACGCAGCTAATTTAGTTCCTACCTTTCCTTTTCCATATATACAAAGAGACACATACTTATTCAAGGAAAAGGAGATGTTTTGAAGAAAAAAAAATGCACTTTTCAGTAGTAATTGTAATTACTCCTATAATTCTTCGTAGTGTCATCAAGCCATTAGCAGAAATTTTTTGTGAGGCACTGTTGATTGGGGAAGTGGAAAAAAGAGAGAGAAAAGATTTCTTTTTGGATGTTTGTTTTGTTTTGACTAGGATGTCTGGTCTGAGCTGATACTAGGCGTTGCGTTCAACTAATCCTTAAATGTCAGCATTCACTGTCAGCAACTCATGGAAAGCTTTGTAACCATGATTTTCCATGAGGCCACTGGATGTATTTGAGCACAAACAACATGGAAAGCATAGTGTTTGAGACTCTCATGGCATGCTTATATAGTACCTTGGTTGGAGGCGATAGTGATTTATTGTCATCTGTATCATTGCCTAATGTCCATATAAAAGCTTGTGACCAATTGTTGGGGTGTAAAATCATGAAATGTCAGAAGTCAGGGTCAACATCTCAATGCATGAGGAAGATTTCCTTTTGGATGTTAGTCTTTTTGGTGGGTTTTGCATATATACCCTTCAATTCTTTAGTATTTGCAAAATTACCCCTCAAAAATAACTTATTGGGTCTTTCTACCGCTCCAACTTAAGAATGTTGGTTTTTAAACAAGGCTATGTCAAACTTTCTTATAGGCTTGCAACAATTTCCCAATTAAAAACTAAAATTGTCGAGTGAAAGGGGGTAGAAACTTATCAATGTGGGAGAATTGGGGGATAATTTTGCAAATACCAAGGATTGGAGGGTAATTTTGCAAATGTGGAAGATTTGAGTGGTATATATATGCAAAAACTCCTTTTTTTTTACTAGGATGTCTGGTCTAAGCTAATACTAGGCGTTCCGTTCAACTAATCCTTAAACCATAGTGGGTCGCTCATAGAAATCTTTGTAAGCATGATTTTCCAGGAGATCACTGGATGTAATTGAGCACAGACATGATGGAAAACATAGTGTTTGAGCCTCTTATGACATGCTTATATAGTATCTTGGTTGGAGGTGATAGTGATTTCTTGTCACCTGTATTATTGAGGTGCACTAATGTCCATATAAAAGCTTATGACCAGTTTGTAATGTTTTTTTTAACTCAATTGGTACTCCACTTGCTTACAAATTTGCATTATTTATGTGTTACACCCAAAACCTAGTATTATAATTTCTCTTTCCTTCTCATGCTCATCCCTTAACATTCTGATAGATGCCTCTGATCTTTGGAGTCGAGCTGAATTTTTTTACTTCAGTTTTTCACATTAGAGTTGATTCACCTCATGTTTCTGATTTTAACATTTTATTCTCTGATTATAAGTACATCCATTTCTTTTTCGTTTCAGCCATCTCGCATGCCTTCAGATGGACCTGTTTACAGCAGCTTTCAGGTCGACTCAATTAAACTGATGGAACTTCTTGGACCTGAGAAGGTAGATCCATCTGATGTGAAGCTCATCAAAGATAAGCTGTTTGGGTATTCAACTTTTTGGGTAACCAAAGAGGAGCCATTTGGTGATCTTGGAGAAGGTGTTCTTTTTCTGGGAAACCTGCGGGGAAAGAGGGAAGAGGTTTTTGCAAAACTCCAGCATCAGCTGCATGAAGTTACCGGTGACAAGTACAATTTATTTATGGTAGAGGAGCCCAATTCAGAAGGTCCAGATCCACGTGGTGGACCACGTGTAAGTTTTGGTCTTCTACGAAAAGAAGTTTCTGAGCCAGGACCGACTACTCTCTGGCAATATGTGATCTCTCTCCTTCTCTTTGTGTTTACTGTAGGCTCCTGTGTAGAGCTTGGAATTGCATCTCAGGTATGCATTACATTTAGCAATTTAATTGTCTTTCCTTTGGGTTCTCAGAATTTCATATCCAAAGCTTGTCTGGTTCTTTTATCACAATTTCTCTATATTTTCTGTGCAGATAACTAGTCTGCCTCCGGAGGTAGTGAAGTACTTCACAGATCCAAATGCTGTAGAACCACCTGATATGCAACTTCTTCTCCCTTTTGTGGAATCCGCTCTGCCACTTGCATATGGTGTTCTGGGTGTTCAATTATTTCATGTAACACACGATTCTAACCTTTGTTTATACTTGATATCTTTCATAGAGAAAGCTCTTCCTGTTAATTATGAATGGAGAAGTAAATGTGTGAGCTTATGACCCTTCTTTTACCTTGATCTTCTACCTGATATATGTTTTGCTTGATGCTGTCATCTGCCAGTGCACTTTGTAAAGGATAAATACAAGTTTCCACACTGTCTTAACCTTTCAAACATTATAATTTTTACTTTTGATATCCACAGTTTGTATCAAAACTTTCACAATTTTTAATCATTTATTGATCACTTGTGGCTGACTGATGTTTTCAGTTTTATTGAAAATGTGCGCTGATCAGTTGAATGCTATTCTATTGTCAAATAATAAAATATAGATGGTTGAGAAGGGTTGGATACACATGCTAATTGATGGGCAATTCCGATGAATTCTGACATATTATAGTGCAGTTTTTCCAGCTTTAATGGATCAAGTTTCTGATAAGACCTGATTTCGTATGTCAAAAATTTAAGATACATTTAAGAATCATGAAAGGTTGTGTGTATTGGGATCTGGAGATGGAATCATGTTCTTACCTCCGAGAAATTGTCAAACAATGAAAAGAGAGCTTCCAGTTGTCCCTTTAAATCACAACTTGCTTCTAATTTATATTGGTAGTGTCAAATTTATAACAAATGTCAACCCCAAAGTTCCCTGTGCATGCTGTTTGGAGCAGAAAATTCTCTGCCAGTTAACCTTTGGGGATCTCACATAGGCTACTTGATTGATGTTAACTTATAACATTGGATTTCAAATTCATTTATTACAAACTTAGAATGCATGTTCAGTCTAATAGAATACTATTCATTTTCATATTCATCATAGTTTTCTTTTAAAGATGTCAGATTTTAACATGCAGGAGGTTGGGCATTATTTGGCAGCATTTCCCAAGAAAGTGAAACTGGGGCTTCCTTTCTTCATTCCAAACATCACTCTTGGCAGTTTTGGTGCAATCACTCAGGTCAGCAATCAATAACTTGTAATCAATTATGTAGAATTCCAACCTATGTTGCAAGGGCACAGGTAGAGGTATTGGTATGGGTACAGGTGCAGGTACAAACACAAGACACAACAAATTTGTAAAAGGGAGCATACGGGGACACGGCTATATAAATGCTTATACACACACATATTATATATTGGAGTTAATAATTTATATGAGAGCAAGAGTGAAGATTATAAGTTTTATAACATTTTTATGTTTCTTTTATCATGTTAATTATAAATTGGAAAATCACCAGTTTTTGAACTAGACATCCAAACCACCCTTCAAAATCATAATTCAAAACTGACTTATGTACAATGAGTTTCGAGAAGTAGATGTGAAGTGTAGATATATGTCCAAAAAATGTATGACAAGTGTTTATAAGTAAAATATGTATTATATAATTGTGTATATGCCCGAATAAATGTACTATATGCAAGAAGTGTCCAAGAAGTTTGGGTACGAGTACGGGTATGGCTTCAGGTGAGAAGTACCTAGGAAACATAGATTCCAACAAATACATGAATTTATCTGTGTGTATTAAATTAGAAATAGACGAGATCATGAGAATATCTGGTTTCTTCATTTTGCTTTTTGTTGGAAGGATCTTCTTTTCCACTATTTCTCTTGCTAGTATGGGCTATGAATATATATAGCATGACTCACATAAACACAATAATTAAAATCTCAGGCCGTGACTTGAGCGCTTACTACTTGTACTGATTGTACTGAGCATTCTTCTATCTACCTGTACAATGGCCATAATTGGTAAAAAGATAGAACTTAATATTTAGTGTAAATGTTGAAAGCCTACCACCTGGAAGAATTAATAGTATGCTGGACAGCTGGGGCCTTCTCGTGTATGCTTCGCTTTAGGGTGGTGGCATGTTGGAGGCTACTCATGTTTGTATGCTTCAGTGTAGGGAGGTGTGCCGATTCTAGGCATGTAGCATTAGCAAAACAGTTTTCCTTCTTGAAATGTGTGTGAGATCCACACGATTTTGAGTGTTAGCTCTTTTTGAAGTGAATTAATCAAGAGTATTTTGGGGATGCATATTGTGGTTGATACCATATGATGATTTTGGTTTTTAGAATCTTTAGATTAAATGGGACAGTGGCTTTTGTTGCTATCTGCACGTTTGAATGTAGCTGGGAAGAGGAAATGGCGGAAGGAGGGCAGGGGCGGAAGAAAATGGGAAAAGCCAATGGCTGATACTTTGAGAGTGATTCTGAGCTCATTTTACCTGGGCTTAGGAGGGTTTCCCAAACTTTACAAGAGGGGTTTTGGTTTTTTATTGTTTTTTTGGGGTGGGGGGTGGGGCGTTCCAAACTCATCAACTGTCTGTTGAGGTGATTTTCCTGCAGTGTCTTTTGTTGGTATCTGCAAGTTGAACGTACCTGGAGAGGACATGAAGGAGGAGGGCAGGAGGAGGAAAATCGAAAAGCAATGCTGATACTTCGAAGCTGACATCCTTTAGTAAGTCTGCCTGCCCTGATGGCACAATTACAACATCCTATAGCCTGAGAGTCGAGACATATGCTCCTCCAACGCCCCACCTCCACCCCCAAACCCCCCCCACCACCAAAAAAAAAAGAAGGAAAGAAGAGAAGAAAGCATAGACCTTTTTGTTAGCCTGGTTCTTGGGACAGCTGTGCTTGTGAGATACATTATTGGTTAACTTGCTGAGTGCTCCATAGTTGTTATATAGAAGATGGCTGCTTATGTCCCTTTTGTGCTAAAACTGCAATCATAAGCTTAGGTCTCTCATAATTTATTTCATTCTACTTTCTTAATAAATATCTTTGTAAGTTTGCAATGTGAGGTAATCTGTGTAATAGTAATCTTTATTATTGTTGGTATTGTCTTCTCAAATTTTCAATTAATTTCTGTAGTTCAAATCTATTCTTCCTGATCGAAAGACCATGGTTGATATCTCATTGGCGGGTCCTTTGGCTGGTGCTGTACTCTCATTTTCAATGTTTTGTGTTGGCTTGGCACTCTCATCAAACCCAGCTGGCTTAGGAGATCTTGTGCAGGTTCCTTGCACGTTATTCCAGGGTTCATTACTTCTTGGACTCGTTAGCAGAGGAGTTCTTGGCTATACGTATGCTTTTCTTCCTTCATCTTCAATTCTTATTTCACGCATGGTCTACTTTTTTTCATGCCCAAAATCTATTTTTCTCCGTCAAAATCTGAAACATGCATGAACGCTTGCCGAAACCATCTCAACCCATATGAGCTTTACGTATTTCTTTTTATCTTTTATTGATCATCAAGGCAATCTTATTATAGACGTTGTGATGCTTCCACTTATATTTTCAAAACTTTTAAGCACTCTTAAGTCAGCCGTCAGTTCTCCCATCAAATTTAACCATATATTTCACCACCTAAAGATATGTGAATAAATATGGGGACACACAGGCGCAACAGGCTCAGGCTGAATCAGCAAGTGTTAAAATATAAATTGACAATGTCCAACCCCGTGCCAGATTAGAAAAAATAAAAGCTAAAGTAAACAGTCTGACTTCTAGTTTAGCAAGGTGCCAAAACTTTGCCACTTAACTGGTATAGAATATAGGCCTCTAGAATTAAGGAATGCAGTTTGGAAACATTGAAAGTAATACTGCACAGTCACTAGTTTTGATGATTCTTGGATTGTACTTGGTGAATCATAGCTTAGAACGACAAAGGATAATACAGCTGCTAGGGGTTCCTCACCTGTATTCTTTGATACCTTTCATCCCTTTATCTGCTAATAAGCTTTGGTGTACGCTTCCTTCCATCCAGGTGGTCTATCTATATGCTTTACTCGCCTGAAAAGGAAAGGATTCCCCCCCCCCGCTTCCTGTTGCGTGTGTGTTTTTTTGGTCTGTGGGTGTTTTTTCTGTTTCTTTTTTTTGTGTTGGGTGGGTGGGAGGGGGGGTGGGGGGGGGTTTGTTGCCTAACATTCTTTTGAACAAGTATCAACTTGATAATAGTCGGAAATAAGTGGAAGTGTGGAACCAGCAGAAATTAACCTTTTGCGATTCCCTTATAGATTCCAACCCCTACCCCAACTTTAAAATTCGTACAAGTTCAATCCTTGTGCTGGTAATACAACTCTTCCATTTAGTTACATGTCTATTCAGTTATGTTATGTTCTGAAATGTTTTTCTTCTCTGCAGTTGGTTGGCGAATTGTAATTAACGCTCAATTGATATCTGTGTGCAGAGCTATGCATGCTGCTAATGTTTCAATTCATCCACTTGTGATAGCAGGCTGGTGAGTTTCAGCATTTCGTTTTGTCTCTGTATCTGCTTATCTATATTGTTTTAAAAATGATCAATCTTCCCTTCTGCTCATGGAGGTGTGGGTTGACAACAACGGCCTTTAATATGCTTCCTGTTGGATGCCTTGATGGTGGACGGGCAATACAGGTATCTACTTTTGCCCGTACCAGATAAATAAAATAGGACAGTCTTAGATTTCCAGGCATGTGTTCTGTATGTCCAAGAACTCTTTATATTACCCACGAGGATTAATACAACCATTAATTATAAAGTGCATACTCATGTAATAAGGTACATCTGATATGTAACATCAAATGGGAATATGACTGTTCCTGATTTCTAGGCATGTGTTATGCATGTGCAAGAGCTTTTTATGTTACCGACAAGGATTAATATTACCTTTAATTGTGAAATGTATATCATTTAATCAAGTAAATAGATAATATCAAGTCTCTTGGAAAACTGAGTTTTCCGCTTCATATTGTTTTCAGTGTAATCCCAATCATTGCCTCATCTAGCTTCGCATATTTTAGTTTTATGTATCAAGAATGCGTAACAATTGATGGACACCTCAGAACTCAGACCTGATGAGATCTAATGACGATACCATCGCCATGTGCAATCAGTCAGACTAGTTGGAATTTTCTTTAGTCATACATGAGATGGTTGTCTACCCATAAGTGATGCTTAAAATTCATATTAACGATGTTTCATATTTTTCCTAGAAAATGACATGATATATATATATATATATATATATATTATATATATATATATATATATAGAGAGAGAGAGAGATGGAGAGAGAGATGAGAGAGAGAGAGAGAGAGAAATATGGAGAACCTTGGTACCAAGTTGCTTAAAGCAACTTGGTAGTGATGTGGCATAATCTTGTCCCTACATCACACCTCGAAGTTAGAGCCTCACACCACATTCATCAACTCCAATGTAGATGTTAGGGACAAGATTAGACCACATGACTACCAAGTTGTTTGGAGCAACTTGCGTTACCAAGTTTCTCCATTTCTCTCATATATATATATATAATATATATATATATATATATTATCCACATCGAACATTTTGACGGTTTGATAGCACATGCCCAAAACCTAGTATGTGCCTATGTGGATGGTAGCAGAAGAGATCTTAGGTAGTTGGATGCATTTGCAAAAATCTTTGATTGTATGAATTTAGATCATGTAAAGCAATCAATCATATTCATATATTGTTCTGAAGATGGATGGATTGCATGAACTCTCACTTCAAATATTTGGATGCATGTGTTACTTGGAGTACATGTATTTTTATGTTATGTAAATGTGCTGATTTGTGGGGGTGTTATCTCCATATGAAAACGTCCAATCAGTGCTTGAGTTCTTAATGTGCACTCTATGATAGTAGCGGTGTACAAATTTCTTGCATTATTATAATCAAAATGTTTATATACAATGACTCATGCATAAATTTTCTCTTGGGAGTATACTTAAATTGTAGATTGCTTGACAGCAGGCATATTTCTAATATCATCTAGAGCTCCGTTGCCTTTGTTTAGGAGTCAAGTGGAGTGGGAATAATAGGTAAGGGCATATATTTTTTAATGTTTTCGCTAGAAGTCCAGTTGTCTGTTAGAGACTTGGATCAATGGACTCTTAATCACGACTCACATTATATCATATACAGGTAAATTTCCACCTAAAAAGTTAATTATAAGAAGTAACATGGAACACTATATGAAATTATGAGCTGTTAAAGTGTATGGCTTACATTTAGTTCTAAAAAAATACGGCAATCATTGTGTGCTAGAAAGCCTGAGAATTTCATATTACATCTCTTTTCAGTCCCTTCCTCATGACAATAGTAAATTTGTATTCCCGCTGTTAAGTTTTTCTTCCCGTGATTAATAAATGCTTGCTCCTTCTCAATGGTAATAACTTTGTTTCCCACAGTTAAATTTTCTTTTTCTTTTCTTTTTGGGTGTTTTCAAGAGGGAATTCTGTGGTCGGGGAGGGAAGAGATAGAAGGGGTGGGGGGTTGCACAAATTTGACTTTACATGATGAATTAATACTTGAAAACAAAATTTGTACTTCCTTTCTCAACTGTGATCTTTATGTCCATCAGGGTGCTTACGGGAAAAATGCCTTGTTTGGTTTTGGCTTGACTACATACGCGATGCTGGGACTGGGAGTGGTATGCTTATCTTTCGTCCATTTAAGCCTCATATTCATAATTGACATCAGTATCTTAGCTTCTTCATTTGATTCATTCTTCTCCTTTCTGCTTCCTAACTCCAATAGATAAATAAAATAAAATAAAAAGTTGATGCTTATTCTAGTAAATATTTCACAGTTGTTGCTAAATTGGCAACGTTTATATTTAAGAGTTTGTTTGGTTAAAAGCTCCAACCATATCCGAACTCCAAATTACCCGTTTATTTGCATGTTGTTGCAACTCCAAAGAATGTTGGAAATACAAAATATGAATAAAGAAGTTAAACTACATTCAGATTGAGGAGTGTTCCGACAACAGAAGTTGGCTGCATGATGTTGCACGTACATTTGCGACTCGAACTTTTATCTCTTAATACACATTCAGTCTCGTTTCACATACATTAAATCCATCATTTCTTCTTGTGTTCAGCTGGGTGGACCACTATCACTTCCTTGGGGTCTGTATGTTCTCATATGTCAGGTATGATCCCCATAGTAATTTAGCGCGTAAAATCACTTTCGGTTCATCAAGTTCCTTTCTCGTCCTTTTCTCATTAAACTGCGCAAAATTGAACACAGAGGGCACCAGAGAAGCCATGCTTGAATGATGTATCCGAGGTTGGAACTTGGAGGAGAACAGCCCTAACAATAGCAGTTTTTCTAGTAATAATGATTCTCCTTCCATTGTGGGATGAGCTTGCAGAGGAGCTTGGTATAGGGCTAGTAACTTCACTCTGAAACAGATATCCCAGTGAAGCGAAGGGTAATTTTTCTAAGCCTATTTTTTTTGTAATAAATTTTGCCTTTTTGGAGTAAGCCGGTATATTTTACTTGTCAAATAGAAAAAGAAATTCATTTTTTTATTCGCCGACTGTTTAATTGTCAATGACGACTTTTTAGTTTTCAAGGCCTTGGATATCCATAGAAAGATAATTTGATCTTCTACAAACATCAATTTTTGCCAAGTGAGCTTTGTTGTTTCGAAGCGTGATGTTAATTTCATCAGAGATGAAAGGCAACCGTCTGAAAAGCGACTGATTACTACAAATGGAAGATGCAGCCAAAAGGAGCCCATTCAATTGAGTGATACGGAAAATTAAAAATTGATTATAAATCATTCTAGATATAAATAGACAGCATGACATTTTACTGATAACATAATTATTGTGGTTCTGTCTTATGAATTTCAATTATTAGCTTCTGGGGGAGTGCTGGTCCATCTTTAGATTGAAATGAAGAGCTAGACGAATAATTATTCAGGAATCTAGATCCTCTTCACTTTTAGTTTGTTTTCTTAAATATTAAAGTTAAGGACCTCAATTATTGGAATTCCGTTTTCTAACAAATTTGAAAGCCTTCAACAACAAATATCATTGGTTTATGTACTAAAACATCGAGGAGAATAGGAACTTGAGTTCAACATTTTCATCCCACCGAATATATTGTGACTGACACTAAAATTTGGCTTAGATAGTGTAAAAGTCGTGTAAATGCTATCTTTATGAAGTAAAATCTCTTTCTCCACCTACACATTAGTTTCTCTTGATTTACTAATCTATCATATCTTATTTTCTGATGGTATCTTATCCATTCACAGAACGAGTCTTCATAAATAGGCCAAAATCATTTGTTGATGCCCTTGATGTTTATCCTTCAAAGCTGATACCTGTATTTTATTATTATTATTATTATTATTATTATTATTATTTTGCATGTTGGACTTTTTTTTCTGGGGGGTTAGTCATCTAGAACTTAAAACTAGAACTGGGATAATTTGTGGGATAAATTTTTAAGGTGTTAGTCACATAGAACTAGGAAATGAGATATTTTTTTATAGTGTTAGTCAAGTAGAACTTTTGTAGAACTAAAACTGTATTATTTTTTTGGTACGTTAGTCAAGTAGAATTCTACTAGAATTAGAATTGAAATAATTGGTCATAATTATCCCACAAATTATACTACATATATATATAACCATAAGTTCTCCTCTCTCAAATTATCCCACACATTGGAAAGAATGCAATTGGGAAAAAAAGTGAAACGCCACCTCCCTCCCTATTGGTTAGTTTCTCCGTCTAGAAAATTTCTCTGCCATGAAGTCAATCATCCGTTCATTTTTCTGTCTTTACTTTGTTTTTGTGATGATTAGATCTTTTATTATTATCTTCAAGATGTATTACTTTATTGATAGCTTTTTGACGTTAAATTACTTTATTATTATTTGTTTGATCAAAGTTTTCTCTCCACAACAGTGGTTTAGGTTAAGAATATAGTGTTGGTGGGTTAGTGCTAAAGATATGCAAGAATATAGTGTTGGTGGGTTAGTGCTAAAGATATGCGGGTTATTTATGTTTTTTTTATAAGTTAGAAAGCAACTTTGCAATCACATTGATGATTAGATGTTGAATGGTTAATGGTGATATCTATTATTATTAAATCGGCTCAGTAAATTGATTGAGATATTTATAGTTCATCTGTCGATCATCTGTTTAGCGGCCATGGATGATTCCTGTATACATTTCATTTATTTGCTGATTTGGTTTCAGCGATCATGATGAGATTGGTCCAAAGGGTTAATGGCTGAAAAATGCTTATTTTTCTTTCTTTATGATGTTATGAGATTTGAACTTTGACATTTATGATCCTCCACTAGAAGCTCCACGAAATGTTGCTGATGCAGACGATGACTCCAATAAAGAAGACGAGTTACAGACTCAACGAGCAGCTGTAGGAGCTTGGAGAAATTCTATGACAAATGTCATGTGAGATGATAAAAGCCATGTGAGATGATGGAAGTCGAGTACTCTAGGGATTTAGATTTTTATTTATTTGTAAATTATTTTATTATTTGGGATGAATAGTGATGCTTTATTGCATTATATTTTATAATTATTACTAGAATTTGCTTATCAATATTATATTATTTTTAATATACAATTATTAACAATAGTAATTTATACCCGTCATTACCCCCATCAAATTATCCTACCAAATTATGCAACTTCATAATATTATCCATCATTATCCCACCAAATTATCCCACTTTAAGAATTGCCCATCATTGTTCCACTAAATTATCTCAGTGTCAAAAAATTACCCTACTTTACCAATTATCCCAGTTCTACTAAAAAAGTTCTAGGTAACTAACACCCCCTAGGATTGATGAGGGAACTTCTCCATGATCCTCTGGATTATGAGTACCAAACCCTCACACGCGGGTGCTCCCCAAGAGAGTGAAATCTGAAACCTTGAAATATTAACTTAGCTAGACTCTCTCGGCTATTTTGGCCTTTATTTATTAAGAAATATTTTCATAAAGTTTCCACGTTTTTGTTTTAAAAATCATTTCATTTAGTATATAAAGTGGCAGGGTCCCACTCTCTTTCTCTAAGGCTTAAGCATATATCAATTTTCTGAATGGTAACAGTAAGAAAATGTCTCCCAACAACCCTGTCTAAAAACAATTCATATCAATGATATATCTTTTATTGTTTTGATAATCTTCGGAGATGTCATTTGTGATGCCTTACATGTAATTAAGTGTCTGGGATAAAAAAATTTCAAAAAAAAAAATTAGATTTTACTTCACTTATGCTGGTTAAAGATTTGTGATTATTTTTGTTTTTCGTTTTAGATATTAAATGGATTGTGCAAGATGTCAGTCTTATTCGCGATTTTACATAGTTTTACTATCTTTTTAAATGTAAAATGACCTAGTTTCTTATATCCACGTGTTCCTATTTTAATTTAGAAAGTATCATAAACTTTCATGAGTAGTAGTGGTTGATTATGATAACACCTTGCACGGTCTTTGGGGGTGGTAGTTAATTAGGACATTTTCATGCAAATTAGGAAATGCGAATATAAAACATTTAGTGGTTGATTATGATAGCCCCTCTGTGAAGTCACTGCTTTGAATTTACTATCCATCTAATTTTATTTTTGCACTGAGTGGAATTCTTTTTCACACTGTCATTTTTAAAGAAATAGAAAATTGTTTTTTTTACAAATAGAACCCCAGAATGTGTAAAAAAATTAATTTTCATTCAGAAAGTGTAGTTGCAAAAATAAAACTACATGGGGTCTATCCCCAATTAGCCGCATCTTTAACGGTCTTTTTTTTTTCATTTCCTAAGTGATGGAATGAACATCGAGAAAGTATTCAGTAAAGATGATCTATGATATTTAATGTACATTAAATAGATGTCAATTATTAGATCCATATACGAATTCCTATATCTAACAATCTAATGTTTGACATCTATTTGATACGCATTTAATACCATAAATCCGGAATATTTTGATACTTTGCCATGAACATCTCTTTTAATTATGTCTCATACCTATTCATTGATTGACTACGATAATTAACCATTTTTGTGGAGAGAACAAATTACTCCGGTGGATCACGCGAGCATGATATTCACTTGAAAACAACAGAAAGCAATGACATGGCCTCAATAATTGGCACATGATCTCAACCAGTAGAGGTGAGCATAGTTCGGTTCAAATCGAACAAACCGATCGAATTGACCGAAATTTAACAGTTCGGTTTGGTTTTTATTAGAGTTCGGTTCGGATCAGGTTAAAGTTTTTTTTAACTCGAATCGACCGAATCGACCGAATTGTATTACCCATTCTAATTACTATTTGTATCAGCTTAAACAGGGCCGTACCTAGGAATTTTGAGGCCCAAGGCGAAATATTAGATGAGGCCCAAATGATACAACTTATAATAGATTTTATCTCATTCTTCTTACCTTTTGAGCTGCAAAATTACTAATTAAAGTTTTATATTCAATATTTTCTAACATATTATTTTCGATAGATAATATTGCTAAATCATTCAATTTATCTTGTTAACATGGTCGATCTTAAATAAGATTTTAGTAATTTTAATTTTGAAAAATTTCTTTCAGCGGAAGCAACTGCTACGGGTATAGTCAATAATACACTATAAGCAATACAAGTATTTAGAAAAGAATCTAACCATTTTATATAATTCAACACTTCAATTAGACTATTAATCTCTACTTTTAAAATTTGAATAGAAGCAATTCAGGTTATAAATTTGAACTAGAAACAACTCAGGTTATAAATTTGAATAGAAACAACTAAATATGATCAAATAAACTAAACTATACACTCTACTTCCGAAAACATATTTGCATGAACCAATGATCATAATCTAGACCCTAAACTACCTAAACCTCAAACCTTCAAGTTAATCAACATTATTTTCTCCGCATCATAACTAGACACTGAAATTTACATTTTCCAAACAATACAAAACATCATAAAACCAACGACGCAGATATGCATTAATATTACTTCCAATAACCCATTTGGAACCCATTTGCAACAATTCATTATGATAATATAGACCACCCAGCTAAACCCAACACTCAAATCACCTCTAAATTATCAATACCCCTTTCCTCACCCCAAAACAAGAACGCATAACCAACCCTAACATCTGTGAATCCACAATAAACACAAAGATTCGATCTTTTACTAAAACAGATAAAAAAAAAACAACGCAAAATAAATGAAGGAAGTCGTAAAACAAACCAGTAAGCGTGCTCGCAATCTTTCACAAGGGTCTACGAGGACTATAACTACAAGTTGTGGGTGAGTCATGGGTGGGCCTTACCCAAGCTGAGGCTCAAGGCAAATGTCTTAATTGCGGCCTTAAGCTAGGGCCGACACTGAGCTTAAACCTAACCAATTATAGTTCATATATAGTTACTCCGTTGCAGCTTGATATCTTTTTCTCTCACGCGACCTAATAGCGATAAAATACCCCAACAATAGCGTCCTCTCCAATTCTAGGGTTTTTCATTATCTCTAGTTCTCTATACATCTCTATTACATATTCGCTTCTTCTACTTTAGACCAATCCACTTTGGAGGTAAGAAACTTAAATCATAATGTTTATTCTAACATTTTTCTAAATTTTTTACTCGATTGATACATTTTTGGATCAGACTTTTCTTTAGATCAGACTTATAATTTTATAGAAATTATACCCAATATCCAAGTTATTACATATTTTTTATTTACTTTATCTATAAAATTGAGATAACTTTAATTCTTTATGTAAGTTTTCTCTAAAAAAATTTATGTAATCTTTGGTAGGAATTAGATTTTGATTTCTACATCTAATATTCAGCAGCATTTAATAGTTTATG